AACATGTCGTGTCTTAAACATAAGAACATATTATGGCTAAGGCTACAGTTATACACGTCATAATAATAATATTAAACACCCTGTCTGCTGACAGTCATCAACTCTTCTCTCTAGTTATCCTTGACTAGATGTACCCTGTAGAAACTCATAAGCATGACTAAGCATTTAACAGTCTAACTAGACATCCTATCTCCACTAAACATTTCTAATACATAAAGTATCTATCCAATATCTATCTGACTAAAAATACCTAACACTGGGGAGACTGTTTCATTCATTTATTTCTTTTTTTTCAATATATAAGCTGTAATTGGCTCAAGGCCCGACCTAATAGACGGATATTTACCAGATTTTTTGGTTTGGTTGTTCGTTTTGAGCACAGCCATTCTAGGTGGCAGTACACACTCTGAGGTGGATTTGCTTGTCTCGAGTGATCGTAGCGCAGAAGAAGAAGAACAAGATGGCGGAGCGAGGCTATAGTTTCTCCCTCACCACATTTAGGTAAACTTTGTCAAAATTGTCATGACTTTTAAAAAGTGATCTACACTTGTAGCTTGCGTTGGCTGTTATTGAATAACAGTTTCATGAGATGTGTACATGGTTACCTTATTTGATATGAAAAAAGGTATGGGAGCTGTTGAGCTGATGCACGGTCATTGCCGCATAGTGCAACGAATCTGCTAATGTTAGCTATTAGCATAGCGGCTAAGAGGTTTTTAAATGAAACAAACAAGAGAGTTAGTGCTTCTGATATTGATAATAACACGTGCTGAATAATTATTCTGTGACACAATATTGAATAGTCCGAAATAAGTTAGTTTTACATGCTATCCCGTTAGAGACATGAGTAGCTAGCAGTAAGATAGCGCAGATGAGTCAGTTGTTTTAGCCTTTGCTTTCAGTTTCGTATTTGTTAGTTGTCGCTTATTATACATTATGTTTATTTTCCGATTACGTTGACTGTTAGTTATTGTAGTAGCATTTTAATTTAGTCGACTTCACCTCTGGCTGACAACATATTAAGGGCACATTCTGTGTTTCTTCCTGCAGCCCTTCGGGGAAACTGGTTCAGATTGAATATGCCCTGGCAGCTGTAGCAGCCGGAGCTCCCTCAGTTGGCATCAAAGGTATCTGGGGATCATATTAAACTTTGGGTTTTGGAGCCAAAGTGAACCCACCTATAGAAGATTATTGTGTTGTTGATAAAAGGAGCAAAATGCTTAAAAATAAAATTTACTGTATTATAAGCCAGACCATTTTGATGTCTGATTGTTAACAGAGGATGCTCTTGTCAGCAAAGGTGCAAAAACTTCATTTGCATGCATTACGTTACCACAACAACACTTTGCTGCCTGTGAACAGTTTCTGATATATTGCAGGTGCAGAGGACAATGGCATGACATGACCCAGTTGAAACTGGAATTTGTGAAGACACTAATTGGGGATATTCTCTGATTTTCAGCTTCCAATGGAGTTGTCCTGGCGACAGAGAAGAAACAAAAGTCCATCCTGTATGATGAGCAGAGTGTCCATAAAGTGGAGCCCATCACAAAACACATAGGCATGGTCTACAGCGGCATGGGGCCTGATTATAGGTGGGGAGTCTGTCTGCTTGGTATTAAAAGGAAAAACCTGCACTTTGGGGATTCTTTTCTGAGATTAGCCAAAAAATATTTCTCTGTGATGTTCAACAGCTGAAAATGCACTATAGAGGATGGAAAATGGATTGCACTTCCATTGTTCACAAGTAGTTAAAACAACAATATTCCTAGTCTTATCAGGTCAGTGGTAAATAAAGGTTGGCATGTTTTAACCATTCAACAGACTGAATATTATCAATTTTGGGCAATTTTGGCAAATCATACTGTTAAGTTTTTGGATTGAAGTTTGACTTTCCAGACAGCTGGATGATGATGATGTCTGACATCAGATTTTGACCTGCAGCATTTGTAATATAAGACACCAAACATATTGGTGGTAGCCAGTTTGTACTACTGACACCCTATGGTGGGATTTTTCTTATGTGATAATTTTTCCTTTGTGTTGGTGTGTTAAGCCTAACAGATTGTTCACACATATGGACTCACAAAGCTGGGGCAGCGATTTGGATGCTGTTTATTGTGAATGAGATCTGGCTCAGCAGACAAGCACACTGTGCTTGTCTACTACAGCTTCATCAGAGGCCAAGCATTGCCGGCAACTATGTATCCATATTTGTGAACAAACCATGTTCACATAAAACACATGACATTTATGAGTTTTGTGCTTTCTGGCCATGAGCACCTAACATATTCATGTCATTGAGGATTTGTTAGCTCTGCTTGTACAAAAAAAAAAAAAACATCCAGAAGACATCACACAGTTTGTAGGACTACTTAAGCTTTTTTTATATGTGAGTTAACAGGTTGTGTCCTCCTTGCAGGGTTTTAGTGCGACGGGCCCGGAAGTTGGCACAGCAGTATTTCCTGGTTTACCAGGAACCGATCCCCACAGGGCAGCTTGTCCAGAGAGTGGCCTCTGTAATGCAGGAGTATACACAGTCTGGGTGGGTATTAGGAAAGGAACATGGATACACACATGCTCACACCATTGTATCTCATAGATAAGATGTATAAAGTTAAGAGTTCTTAGATTGGATCTGTCTTGTTTTCTCCTCTAGTGGAGTGCGTCCCTTTGGGGTGTCATTGCTGATAGCTGGGTGGGATGAAGATCACCCCTACCTGTTCCAGTCAGACCCCTCTGTATGTACCCCTCAAAACTCATTTTCATGTTTGCTGAAAAAACACTGTCTATAATTCAGTTGTTGTTCTTTTTATTAAGTTCTATATTTTTTTTTAATTCTTAAACCTTTGATAGCTGGGTAGCCCTGCCTTGCTGTAATAATGTGATCTTAGATAAAATAATACCTACGGTACATATTCCAAAAATGTCATTTGCTTCAATGCTGTTACCCTCCCCAAATCCTTTTAACTATAACATCTATATCTGTCTGATTGGAAGTCTCTTTGATTTAGCAGTGATTTGATTAATGTAAAAAATAACACTTGGCTATCAAAAGCATAACTTTCCCACTGTCCTAAAGGCTTTTCATTTTTCTTGATTGACAGGGTGCATATTTTGCATGGAAAGCCACAGCAATGGGAAAGAACTATGTTAATGGAAAAACATTCCTTGAGAAAAGGTAAGGGTTTGCTATTTGAGGAGCTCTTTGAATAATGGAATTATATTGCACACTGTAAATGTATGGATTTGGATTATGATTTGTTGATTGACCTTCGTACTTGCTGTATTGCTAGCTCAATGATAAAGACTCAGGTGTGAAAAGACTGTGTTGTGGTATAATTTAGAGATATAATGCACAGATTTGAGCTGTTTGGTTGGGAGAGCTCAACTTGTTACAGTGGTACTTGACTCACACTGCACAAATTGGTAAATGACCACTTTGTTTTCAATCTCCAGGTATAACAATGATCTGGAATTGGAAGATGCCATCCACACAGCCATCCTAACACTGAAGGTATATTGTTGGTTATAAAAATACCAAAAACATTGGAATCTGACTTCAGTGTTAGTGTTTCACCTTTTATTTAAACATTTCTATGTTTGTGTCTCAGGAGAGTTTTGAGGGTCAGATGACAGAGGAGAACATTGAGGTGGGGATCTGCAACGAGGCTGGCTTCAAAAGACTCACCCCAGCGGAGGTGAAAGACTACCTGGCTGCTATTGCGTGAACATTCCCTGCCTGGTGATGGGTCTCTGTGGCCACATTTCAAGACTAAGACATGGCAGCAAAGTAGCCAACAGTCTCATGATGCTTTTTTATAAACCACAGAGTAATTCAGATAGTTTGGCCACATTGTGTTCTGGCCAGTTTGTTCTTTCCCTGGGGATGCTTTTCATTAGTTGACTAAATTTAAGATTTTTTAATATGATAGTCTGTTTGTGACATTGCCCAAATATAATTACTTAAAGAGAAAGCCTCTGGGTGTGTCACAGCTGCACTGAATAAAATCCATCAGTGGCTGTGAGACTGACTCATGTCATCACGTAACTAACACGTACTGTGGTACAGTGAAATGTGGCAGTTGGCTATTGTGCATATGAAATGTGGGCTCTAACGGTGAAATCTCAAATCTTCCACTGAATCCCTCAGTTTGTATTTTTCATTACTACCACACAGGCAATGTAACCGGTTGATCTAAAATGTCTTTGCCTGTCACTATAAATGGATCCTGAGGGCATTTCTTCAGTCCCTCAAACACACTAGGAAAGAGAATAAACAAACAGAAGCAACCAGAGGATTCAGTGGTAAGTTTAGAGATATTCCAGTCAGAATATGGTTGCTTGTACAGTTGTTTTACACAATGTACTTTTTCAGGCAGAAACAATTGAAGTGTTTGTATTTTCTTTCTGTAATCTCTCACTTATTCAAATAAAAGATTGAGTTGAAATTCATTCTGTCTTAAATTAATATGCTTTGTTTGGAAATGGAATCTGATATGGAAGCTGTTTTAATGTTAAACGTGTAAAATGGGAACGTGCTATCAAGCCAGTTGTGTACGTATGAGCTCAGGCCACGAGCTAGTGCGCGGGTTAGACCAGGAAGAGAAGCGCGCTCTAACGTACACCGGGACACCTTTTAACATTCTATGCATATCCATCCGCCTATGTTGTGCTTAAACAACTAATGCCTTATACGGTAATGACAGTAACAGTCCGCTTTCAAACGTTCAGCATTGTCGAGGACATGAAAATAAATAAGGAAAACTCTTAAAGTTTGACCCAACAATTTTGTTAACAAATCTATTTTTCGTTGCGGCAGCTCCTACCGTCTGACCTCATAACCTCCGATGACGTTTATGGCGCCAGAAATCAAGGGTTTAGTGGGGATCTTGTGTGTATCAGCTGGTCCATCTTTGCCGTTGTTTACGCTGTGTTGGCGGTACCGTAGATGTTGGACATTTTAAGGCATAGTAGAGGTTGATCATTCATCGATTGTGCTGGTATAAGGTCGGGTTGGAGTCAAGATGGTGATATTACGCAGCAGCGGCAGTGTCGGAGCGGAGGTGGTGGCGACAACTCCGACGAGGAGCGCGCTGGAGATGAATACAAGCTCCGAGTTTCTGTCGCTGCTTCCCGCGGCGCAGAGAAAGTCCGCCCGGGTGACCCGTTCCTCCCGGCCTGCGGATGACAGCTTCAGCAGTCCTGAAATCATCACGGCGAATGTAAGAACACACTCCTAGTCAGATGGTTAGCTAGATAACTAGATTACAGTTTGTTTGGTGGATAAATGATCTTTGCATGCAACTTTGATGTGCTAGTTTTCTAACGAGCTAAGCCAACTGACGGTAACAACTTTGACAACCTTGTGGGAAATCTGTCTAACAATTGACTGAAATTCGCCTCTGTGTTGGACATTTGTTGATTCGTTTGTAACGACCATAGTGGTTTGGTGAGTGAAGAACACTAAGGATAATTGCTGTGTTTGTCACTGTATTTTTAATGTGTGTATTGTTTTGTTTTGGTTTAAAAGGGTGACTGTGTATTGAGCATTATGATGAAGGGAGAACGGTAGCTCGCTTCCACATGCACTGAAAGTGTGTGATGAAAGTTACAATAACTTATTGAATTGAATGTGACCTTTGCTGCTCATGAAACAAGCCTGCAGCTTTGTAGTCATGACAGTGTCTCTGTCTTTAGATGTTAAACCAGACATAATCCATATTAATTCCTATTAAGGTAAGTTTTTAATGTATGTGTCTAGGATCACTGTAAAATATAGCTGAAGCAAATAAACAGAATCACTGTGACACCTGATTCGTCATGATGTTAACACAGTTTGCTTCACATTCCTACTGACACTGTAGGCACTGTGAAGTGGACAGTTGTATGGTAGCTGGCTTTTAGATGTGAATCCTGTGCACTAAAATGTTGGTCAGATCTGGAAGAGAATAAAATAAATGTTGTTCATCCCAGCCCATGGCAAATGTAAGGTGTACTGTAAATGAGAAACTGATGATGTGACATGATGATGACCGTTCCAGGGACATGTTGGTTCAAAGCAGGAGGTCGGCAGCCGTCTCCATCACTCTTTGAGGACCAGAGGACAGCGAGTTAAACTGGAGGTCAAGTTTGCTGAGGCTGACCTGAAGACCAGCTCCCCTGCAGGATGCTGCACCAGGTGATGCAGGACCGTCTCATAACATTTAAGTATTTGTGGCGGTGTTTAAGCAGTTATGCTTCACTTGCAGATTTGCATGGTTAAGTATTAAATGTTGAAAACTGGTCAAACACCAAAGCCTCTTGCTTTTAACCATGCATTGGTGTGTACATCATGGCCCTGCGTGTGATGTGTTCAAAATTAATGCTGCACATCTGCGAGATGCAGCTTTGGGTGTGACTGCCAGGCTACACAAAGTAAATTAAGCTGCAGTTTTAAATCACTCCTATAATGCTGAAAAGCTTCGAAGAGAAACTCAAAAGGCTTTTCTAGCTAACATACCAGATACACTGCTGCGGTGTGATCTCAACATCAACAATATTGTAACCTCAAGTGTTGTTTTGGTTTTTGTTTATGGTGTGCAAAAGTTGAAAGGAAGATATTCTGCTTTTCGCCAAGGATGATTAGACCCTCGTCTGCCACCTAGTGGATAAAATGTGTAATCTCCCAGATAAACACAGCATGCAAGCAAGTGGGCTTATGTGAATAATGATGTGGATGCCACATCCATTGTTTACTCATATGTTTGACTTTACCGTTTCAGGGGCCACTGTAGTAAAGCCAAACGCATTTTGGTTTGAAACTCCCTAATTGTGCATCAGGCATAAATAAAATGCATGCTCCCTGGCTCCTCTTATAGGCATTGACCATTTCTACTTAGTATTATGTATTTTTGATTTTCACTGCTAGATCTCTGCAAAACCTACAGGGTTCAGGCTTTTTGACTCAGTGTTATAAGAGTGGTTTTAAAATATTCTTTTGAGCTTGGATGTCAAGTAATTACCTGGCATGATCTTTTTAGGTTTGTACTTTTGCTGTTAGCCACATGCCTGTGATGCCGCATCATGCCTCATCATACCAAACCTAATGTAAATTCTACAGTGCAGCTATTTCACATTTTTGCAAAACATAGTTTTGTAAACAGCATGTTTAGAAAATAATGAAGTAAGTTAGGACTTAAATTCTTCTTTGTGATTTCAGGAAATCCTCCAGGCTGCAGAGAGAGGGGAAAGCATCCAGCGGCAAGCAGCAAGCAGGTGTAGTTTGCTACAGTCTTTGCATAGAACACTTGCAGGCTTAGGCTACATGGAACAAGAACCATGTTAAACAGAAATGTATTTGTAGGAGGTTTCTAACAGGGTAATTAAAGGGCTTCTGTTGGTGCCCCAGATGTTCCAGATGAACTGGAGGGGTCTTCCACTCCTAAGAGGAGCCGCTTTAACCTACAGAGCCGAGAAGTGGAGGAAGAGGAAGAAGAGGAGCGGTCCGTGCGACGTAGTTCTCGAATCACCAGATACAAACTAGATTCCCACAACCAGTCGGTGCTATACGACCGCCTCATCACCAAGTGAGCTCAGCAACATTCACTCCAGTGATTGTGGTTTCTACTTCCACTATGATTTCAGTTGAAAATAAAGCTGCAGTACTATCTCAGGCTAAGTTTAAAGGTAATGATTTATTAACTTAGAGACAAGCTTTGATGAAATCTAAGAAGTTCTTCCTCTGATTTAACCTCAGCACTGCTGAAGCTGTCCTCCAGAAGATGGACGACATGCACAAGATGAGATGTAGAGTGAGAAGCAGAGATAGAGACACTAAAGAAGAGGTAAAAACCTCAACAAGGAAACCTCACATTTTCCTTTTCAAGCTGACAAACCAAAAAAAAAAAAATCAAAACTGTGAGTTAATCAGCATTTGACTTGTCTCCTCTGAACAGCTGGGTGTTTACACTAAGAACAGGATGAAAAGGTCACTGAGGAAAAATGTGGAGAGTAAAGCCACCGAGAAGGAGAACCAAGGTGATCTGGATCCTGCTAATACTGCAGATAATTCAGTTTTGTACCCCTGAGGGCCCCAAGTTACCAATACTACAAGTTATGTTAAGCTACCAGTAGGGCTGCACGATCAATTGTTTTGTGAGTGCGATTTAGATCCCTGTGCGATTTCAGTCTCACATGACAATGTTAGCACGGAGCTGCATGAGACCAAGCGCTCCCTTATTGTGAAAGTAATTTAAAGCAATGCTAATAATAAATACAAATTGTATTTAGATTTAGACAGCAGCTGTAGCTTGCTGTGCTCTTACCTCTTATCCTATTCCCCCAATTCACAGAAAGGGGCGAGGATGATCACGATGAAGAGGAAGAGGAGGGAGATGATGGAGAAGATGAGGAGGAAGATGATGAGGATGAGGAAGAAGAAAACCAGAGGCGTTATGACTTTCGGCAGCGAAAAACTGTGGTTCGCTACCAGGCCCCACAGGATGGTACAACTATTCAAACTGTTCACTTTATTGATTCATGTTGTTTAAATGGTAGATGTGCCAGCTTATGAAAGGCTTTAAACACTTCAGATCTGCCATTGTCCTAAATGCAATGAGGTAAATGTATTATCTATATGGATACCTGAATATGCCTGTTTTAGCCTTATTGTAGATACTCACAGACATGTATTTTGAGACAGTTCTCTATTACTTCAAATGATAAAATGTATGCAATAATCCTAACTTAACTTTAAGGGATAGGAGTTAAGGATTCTTACCCTGCAACAGTGCCCTAGCATTCATAGCAATAAATAAATGGCAATAAAAACATAAGATCACTGCTGTTGTAAATGTTTGAAAGTAGACACGTGCAGCTGAAAGTCCCCAGTGTTTCCTTTAAGGCCAAATTAATCAGGAGTTTGATACAGTTTGTGGTGTGTTAATGTTTTCTCAGAACCCAGAGAGACCAGGAAGCGCAGCATGTACTTCAAGCACCACACATCTCCTACCAGACGCAGGTTTAGATTCAGCTCCATGGCCCCCAGGAGCCCCTACAACAGGAGAGGACCCAGCCGGTTAGTATGACAGCCCAGCCACCACCTTCCTGTGACTGAAAATAGAGAAATCTGTGTTTTGCTATTGCGGGATCTGATTTCCCACTAACATTTGCTGTCTGGTCAGCATACTGTTGCACTCAGCAAAAATGGTGTAACTAATACACTACCCAGAATGCACTGCCTCATAATCGCTCTTAAGTCTGTACATAATACAAGTGTTCCCTTGTTACAGAAACAGAAAAGATGTTAGTAATCATAACATAGTAACAGATACATTTTCTCTTTTCTCATTCAGGCTTACCAATAGCCTTATCGATCATGTAAGAGCCTTTTAACAAGCTGCATGTTCACGTGCCAGCTGTTACACTGTGTTACTTATTCATAGCTCATACACACAGTTGCACAGAAAGAACTTAGGGCAGAAATGTACACCTACAGTAGTGTCACTGGAAAATCCATCCAAAAATTCCTCTTTTTTTTATTTTTGGATTTCTCCCACTCACAGGAGTAGTTCTGAGAGGTGAGTACTTGTCTTTTTTGGTGTTTATTTTTGGCGCTGTCTGTCTCTGCTAGTGCTGTGGTGCTAATGTGGTGGCACATTTCTGTGAATGGTGGACAGGGAACCACACTTTGTTGTTCAGATAAAGACAGACTCACTGGTTGAAAGGTGAATTTCTCTTAGCCACTGTTTTGGGTATTTATGTGCATGTAATCAGAAGCTTCCCTCACTTTTAAAACGGTTTGAATAATGTGTGCTTGGTATATTACACTGAGCCTTCAAAGAGAATATGTAAGTCAAGTCCTCCTGGTGTGCTGTGCAGGGGGCGTGTTGGGCAAAGACACTGAAACCAGCCAAATCAAGGAAACGTGCTGCTTCTTATCATGGACGTATTAAGGGAGAACATGTAGGAAATATGCATTTCTATCTAGCTAGCAAACTGTAGGCTGTAGTAGGTGTAGTAACTCGCGATCAAACAGGAGAACTGGTGCTACTGTGCTAGGGATCTACAGGAGCATTTAGTCAAAAACCAGAGTGAGATTAGAAATATGGTTTATGGGGGCTTATATTAAGGATAGCTCCAGCGCGCCATCAAGCCAAGCTTTCTGCCCTGCTCAAAAAAAAAATCCTGAACTCAAAAATGATGAAACGGTCTAACTCCACAGTTCAGCACTACACAGTTCTCTGTCTTTTCATGTTTTCAGCAACTGTTTCTTTACCCGGACTTTGATATTTTAACTTACTAGCTTTAATTCCTGTGTTGCAGAGAGTGACATACCTTGATGCTGTTGGATCTCTTTGTTTAAAATAAACCATTTTTAACATCCTTCTGCCTTGCAGGAGGAGACATGCCATCCACAGCAGTGACTCCACCTCCTCATCTTCAGATGATGAGAAATTCCAGCGACGGAGGAGTAAGAGCAGGACCAGGTCAGTCAACAGGTGAGAGCAGCAGCAGCTGTCATTCAGCACAAGTACAGGTAGACAAACAGCAGTGTTCTTCAGCACATGGGTTGGTACACTGTCTCTAGTTCAGTAGTTTATCTGATAATTCCTGCAGAGTAAAAGTAGGTGAGTATAAAGCTTGCACATTTGTGTCTTTAGAAGAAGTTTTTGATTATTGTTTTGACCTTCTTAGTCTCTTAATGGCAACATTTTGCATGTTGTCACAACACATCATCCTGTTATGTGATAATAAGACAATATTTCCATGCAGTGGTAACTATAAATGTGTTGCTTTTCCTGCAGATGTCTACCTATGAACTTTGTGAAAGAAGACCTGCTGGGGATACACAAAGACAGGATGAAGATTGGAGCCAGCCTCGCTGATGTGGACCCAATGCACATAGACAGGACGGTAAGATGCATCAATATAGATTTCCAGAGTAGTCCGATTAAATAGCCACATTTAAAAACACGACAGTACACATTACTGTAACAACTCAAACATACGACTACCCTGATTGTTTTTGAAGAATTTGACAGTTCCACTTTTTGAAGCATATTTACCAAAGAGATCTGAGACAACAAGCCTAACGTAACGCTTGATGTGACCCAGGTGCGTTTTGACAGCATTGGAGGTTTGAGTAGACACATCTCAGCGCTGAAGGAGATGGTGGTCTTTCCTCTCCTCTACCCAGAAGTCTTTGAGAGGTTCAAGATACAGCCACCCAGGTAGGTGGCGTACTTGCATTGGGGGAGCAAAATGTCACCAGTTTTGCATTCATTTTACATTGGTGGTTCTATAGTTTGAATAAGGTTTTTTTTTTTGATAAGAGCCAAAAGTCAGACGTGGCCATCTTGATTGTAGTCCACAAAGTTACATTTTTCCAAATTTGTACAAGTACAATAAAAACACTGAGAGCATAAAACATGTCACTGCACCAGGAGAAATGTGTAGGCCTTGAGTATAAATTAGTGAAAAATGTAGTCTACAAAGTGTATTTACTGCTGTACATTTAGCTTCCCCACTCTTTATGTGCCTTTTTCTCACTACTTTTCTCCTCTCCAACTTTTCTGGGGTAGGCAGTTGAACTAACAGCATCCCCAATACTGGTCTTTGTTATGTTTGCTCTTGTCTTTAGGGGCTGTTTGTTTTATGGGCCTCCGGGCACAGGGAAAACCCTAGTAGCCAGAGCACTGGCCAATGAATGTGGTCAGGGTGAAAGAAAGGTGTCGTTCTTTATGAGGAAAGGAGCTGACTGCCTCAGTAAGTGGGTGGGAGAATCTGAGAGACAGCTACGCCTGCTGTTTGACCAGGTAAACCAAACTCCTCATCATTGTGTAACATAGTTTTTGGGATGGATGAAGATTCCAGCCACCTTTGTTGTGTTTTTTTGGTCTGTCTTGGGAAAAAAAAAAAAAACAGATACAACCATTATCAAAAGTAAATCAGAAAACATTTATCTCCAACACAGCCTCACTGTATTTTGACACATTAACTTGCAGTGGTGGAAAGTAACAAAGTACTCAAGTATTTACTCAAGTACTATACTTGATTACAATTTTGAGGTATCTGTACTTGGTTATTTTCATTTTCTGTTAATATTTTGATTTCGCCACATTTTAGAGGCAAATATTGTACTTTTTACTCCTACATTTATTTTATAACTTTAGTTTCTAGTTACTTTTCAGAGCCAGATTAATACAATGAATACAGTAAACTGATGAGACCTCAGATATCTGTGGTGGAAAATTCACAAGCTACCCAGCAGCAATTCAAATTAAATGCATATAAGCTAGTTAGCTCCAACATTAAACATGACGCATATAATGTATCTGTAATTATAACACAATAATATGATATACAGGGATGTGAAATGTGCCGTTCTGTATACTGAATACTTTTATTTTTAGTACTTGAAGTATGTTTTGATGGTTATATTTTTGTACTTAAGTAACATTATGAATGCAGGAAACAGTTGTATTGCTACTTTTACTTAAATAAAGGATCTGAGTACTTTTTCCACCACTGTTAACTTGTAGATTAGAATATGTTTAATGCCTGTCCATAATCATGTCAGCTCTGAAGATAATACAATTTGTTATTGATTGAAATCCTTTTGAATTGTTTTTAGGCATACCAGATGCGTCCGTCCATCATCTTCTTCGATGAGATTGATGGTCTGGCTCCAGTCAGGTCCAGTCGTCAGGACCAGATCCACAGGTGAGATGTGCTGCATTCTTTATACAGCACATGTGTGAACAATGTTGTGTAGCACCTGGGATTGTAAAGGACTAGGATGCAACTGTAGCTAATGTGTTACTCAGTTGAATGCAAGGTATACAATAGTTGTGTGTGTCATGCAAACAGATCATTTTATGGCTTGACTGTTGGTTGATAGCCTATTAGAAAGTCGTGCTTTTTTTTAAAAACAAATTGAGTTGTACATTTATGAAAGTAGCATTTTTTTATGCCAACTTTCTTGTATGTATCAGGAAAAGAAGTCAATTACAAGCAATAATCATGAGGTGATTTATTTCTGTTTAGCACTAGGTGTACAGGGCAGGCAGCACAGCATTTGAAAAATAGTTGCAGGAGGACACAGAATATCTCTCACAATGCCAAACATGTTGGATTTGCTTTTGAATTGGTATTTGCTTCCTGTCTACAGCTCATTACAAATTGATGTAATGCATTCCTGCTACTGGTTAACGCATCTTAGCAAGGAAAAGAACGCTTGGTTTGTTGCAAGGCGTCTCCCTGCTAATGCAAACACAGCAGAATCATTGTCAGGTGGGACTGAGATCACACAGGGATATATACTGTATTACACTCATCATGCGATTAGTCATGCAGCCCTAATATGAGCTGAACAAAGGGTGTAATATTTGGCTCTGTCTCTAAACTGTAAGAAAACCCAGAGACTGTAAATAGTTAGATGTAGTGTTGAAATGTACCACGCCTCCTCTGAGATTTGAAATACTGCAGATTTATTTTTAGTTTTAAGAGTGCTACATGTGATGCTGGTCATTCTGTCGTCATGATGGTAGAACAGTATAATTACACCAGTTAGAGTAGTTAAGAGAAATTAAACATCCTTCTCTCTGCTTTCTCCTTAATACATCCGTGATTTTTCTGACCCGTGAGCTTGGGCAATATCAGCAGAGAGCAACCAGAGCTGTGTATGAGTCTAACTGTGCACAGATGACACAGTTTACTGTCAAAATTATAATAAAGGTGCATAGTTAATATGCTATCTCTGCATATTTACCTTTAACTCTACTAGCATCTCAACCATCTGTATTTTAATTTACACATAACACGTATGCTGCAAACACTTTACAGCTCAGGCTATATACATACATAAGCTACTCATACATACACACACACACACACACACACAGACAGTGTGTCATTTGCCTCGACCTTAGGGACCAGTCAAGAGGCCTTTGTGCCCTCCGAAAATGTATGAAATCGAAGGCCAAATGACCGTGCCCTTCAAATTATGAAATCTATGGCCTGCCTCTGACCATCTACTGGTTGCACTTTTCCATCATTACTCATATGTAATACTTTGTTTATTAGTGTTGATTGTTTTATTGCATTGAAAGAGTTCTTGTATGGGAATTGGCAGTTGTCTATCGGAATCGGGTCAAAACTAAAAAAAAAAAAAAAAAGGTGGATCAGCCCATCACTAGTTTGAAGAGGTGTTCTTTCTCTTTGTCTGTAGTTCCATAGTGTCAACCCTCCTGGCTCTTATGGATGGATTAGACAGTAGAGGAGAGGTTGTTGTGATCGGAGCCACAAACAGACTGGACTCCATCGACCCAGCACTAAGAAGACCAGGACGCTTTGACAGAGAGTTTCTCTTTGGCCTGCCAGACAGAGAGGTGAAAAATTCTGCATGCACTTCAGTGCTTGATAGAAATTATAAAAGAGAAAATGATTGTTGCAAGAAAATCACCATAAATCTTCAAAAAACAAAGAAAAACAGCAGGAACGTGATGCTGTGTTGAATAATGTCATTTCTATGTTGTGTAGGTTTTGGGTTTTCTGTATGCACGTCAGCCTCCTGAGATGTAAACTTGGTTCTTTAAAAATCTGCCGGCTCTTACATTGCTCTTCAAAGAATCCGCGAAATGGACTTTCATATTGATTATATTACCATGCTGGTGGATGTTTATACTGTTGCATAATTTAAAGTGAGCAGCACCTTTAGGTAGAACAAGAGCAGCAACTGAATGCACTTTCAAATGAGCTGATTATGTGGGAAGAGGGGGTTTTGCAGACTATTGCATCTGGAATAGAAATGCTGTGACTTTGTTTTTGTGTGTCAGGCGAGAAAGGACATTCTGAAGATCCACACCAGACAGTGGACTCCTTCACCCTCTGACACCTTTCTTGAGGAACTGGCAGACAAATGTGTTGGTACGTCTGCACAAAATGATGCCTTTGGTCCCCAAAAGCTTGAAAAATACACGCTGCAAAACTTGGGCAATACAAGTAACAATCCCCTTAGATTAGATTTGTCCGTGCTACATAACTTGGTATAAACAAGAAAGATTTTTATTGAGTGTGTCTGCATGACATGGTCCTGGAACGGAATCATGGCAAATCTCAGAAACAAATTTAGCCTGCGACTTCATCCATGACTTTATACTGACAAATCTTGCGCAAAGTTTTGTACACTCAGGACTACAGATTGAGGTTTGTTGGTCATCTCAGTGGCAATTAACAACAAGCTTCTTTTGTTGGCAGGATATTGTGGGGCTGACATCAAAGCTGTGTGTTCAGAGGCAGCTCTGTGCGCTCTGCGGCGTTGCTACCCTCAAATTTACTCCTCATCGCAAAAACTCGTACTTGATGTCGACTCCATTACCATCACAAACAAAGACTTTATGTCTGCCATGTCCAAGCTGGTACCAGCCGCCCAGAGGTACGACTGAGACACACAGTACATTTTTATTTTTCTGAGTGTACACATTATTCTGACGGCTCCTGGGCATGGTTCTTACATATGGTTGTTAAGTATACATAATGCTTATTGGGATTTTTTTTTTTTTTTTTTTTTAGAGCAATAGTGTCACCAGCCAAGGCCCTGATACCTGCTATTCGTCCTCTGCTGAGCGCCAGCCTGCAGAACATCCTTCACACAGTCAGCAGAGTGTTTCCGCATGCTGAGCAGGGCTTAACGAAGAAAAGACAACAAGGTACAGTCCTGCTCTGACTTTTTCTCTTGTTCTGTTGTGCATTCATTTGGTCTGGCCCTCTTCTGCTCCATTCATGGTCCTGCATTCTTTCATTTAATTAGATAAATAATTTCTCCTGTGTTCATTAAGTAATTACAGAATAGACCTCGGTTGATTGTTCATTTGCCAACATCTTCTGGGGCCTCAGGAGTAACTGCTGTAGTTAATTTCCAGATCTGGTCTGTGGTGTGTCTGAGGATGGCCTAATCTTCAGTGAGGATGAGGACTTTGGGGTCTGCTCCAACGGACAGACCCCTCACTCTCAACTCGGAACACCTGCTGCTAAGAGCCTCCTCAACCTCAACAGGTGGGTTAGTCATTATTCAAGAAGGATTATTACTCAGGAGTTATAGCTGTTTACTCATTATTTCAGGTTTGTTAAGTATTTACAGAATTTCTCAGAATTACATGAAGTGTTGCAAGCCATCTTTTGAAGATCATTTAAGCAACTTAATGAGCCGCTGAAATATTTATTGAAAATAAATCTGAGGATACCCTCCACCTCACCAGGTCTCTCTTATCTCTTGTTGTGTAGGAGTGTGCTGAGCCACCCAACGTCCTACCGCCCCAGGCTGCTGCTGGAGGGCAGACCAGGTGCAGGTCAGACCTCCCACCTGGCTCCTGCTGTCCTCCATGCTCTCGAGAAGTTCACTGTCTTCACACTGGACATAGCTGTGTTGTTTGGAGCCAGTGCAACTGTCCCAGAAGAGACCTGTGCTCAAGTAAATGAGATATTTAGTAACTGACAAGAATGGGTTATGACACATGAACAGCCCAGAGATCCATGAATCAGCCCTCACACAACTGATGTAGACTAGGAGTAATTTTGCAGCTTTGTCAAATTCAGTGTGTTCTTTAGTGTGGACCTCACTGGCCAAAATGGCTGCCACAGAGACTGTAGTTCATGGGCCCCACCTCCTTACAACATGGATGTTGGGGATAAATATGTACTGCAGACAAATCCTACACATTACCAAAGGCCCAACTGAGGTGGCTGTGGCTCAGGGGTAGAGCCAGTTGGTAGTTTGATTCCCATTTTCCCTAGGCCACATGTTGAAGTGTCCTTGGGCAAGACCCTGAACACCAAGTTGCTCCCAATGGCCAGGCCCAGCACCTTGTGTGTGTGTGTGTGTGTGTGTGTGTGAGTGGGCGAATGGGTGGATGGGTGAATTTGTAAAGCACTTTAATCAGGATAAGGATAATCACCTTTATTGGCCAAGTATGTTACACACAAGGAATTTGTTTCTGGTACAGAACCGAGGCAGCCATCTGCGGTGCCAACTCGCACCAATGGCTCTAACCATCGGGGGCAACTTGGGGGTTCAGTGTCTTACCCAAGGACACTTCGACATGTGCTCTGCAGGCACTGTAATTCGAACCTCCAACCCTCCGGTTGGGAGACAGCCACTCTACCCACTGAACCACAGTTGCCCCCTCACTTTGTAACGCTTTGAAAAGCGCTATACAAGTTCAGTCCATTTACCACTCCTCAGAGGCTTCAACCTGAAAGTGTGTTCGAGGGTGTTTTTACCTTACTTAAACTGTTACTAACCACTGGTCAAATCAGTTAACTGGTTGTGTCAGCATTAGTTTATAGTATGGTCAGGACACTAATGTTAATGTAATTGTACATTTCCTTTATGCATTTAGTCTCTATCATCCTCTGTCATTTATCTCCATTCATACATACAAATCCAGACCATATAACAATGTTTCTTTGTACATTCTGCAGATCTTTGTTGAAGCCAAGCGGACATCTCCCAGTATCGTGTACATCCCTCAGATCGGACGGTGGTGGGAAACTGTCGGTCCTGCCTTAAGAGCAACTTTCCTGAGCCTGCTTGGCTCCATCCCAGCCTTCTCTCCTATACTGCTGCTGGCTACATGCAACCTTCCTTATGACCAACTCGGCACAGAAGTATGGAAAGACACTGCTCACTTAGTGTAGTCATTCATGAGGGCACAGTAGTTTAAAAAAAATATATAAAAAGTAAGCACGTCTTATTTACTGTTATGTCTGTCTTTTCTCAGGTTCAGGAGTTGTTTCGGGTGGAGTATGGGGAGGTTTTCCACATCCGGGTTCCCACCAGCAGAGAAAGAAGGAACTTCTTTGAGGACCTTCTCATCAACCAGGCTACCAAGGCCCCCGTGTCAAAAAAGAAAGCTGGTGAGAAATCTAAGTTAGTTTTTATTTTGTTGATATGAGCTTTTATAAACTCAGGATTCATGTGTTCACAGAGGAAAAAAAGCAAAATATCTTTTAAAAAAATATCACCCTTTTAAGGACCAAATCAGGATGAAAATGTACATTATGTTGAGATGTTTTATTTTTATTTGGGCATTTAGTGTCCGTGTGGTTATTACTCATCATAACCTATTTGTCATATGTGGGCAAAAAGCTTCCAAAAGCACAGAACAGACAATGGAGCATGAAAGGAGATCACAAGGTCAGCACACAGTAGTGTATTATTTAAAACTACTGATTTAAAAACCCATGGCATAAAAGAAATGGAGACATGCAGGGTGTGTGAAGTGTGTGTGTGTGTGTGTGTAGTGAGGACATTTTCATATACTAACCCTCTTCTCTCCTCAGTGCTCCATGCATTGGAGGTGCTCCCTGTTGCCCCTCCCGCTCCTCCACGTGAGCTGACAGAAGAGGAGATCCAAAAACTGGAGGAGCAGGAGGAAGATACACTCAGGGAGCTCCGCCTCTTCCTGCGTGATGTCACCAACCGTCTGTCCCAAGATAAACGCTTTAGGGCTTTTACAAAGCCTGTGGATTTAGATGAGGTAGCTGTTCTATTATATGCTGTTCTCTCCTAATCTGATCCCTTACAGCACCTTACTTGAAGCTGATTTACTCATGTCTGCTGTACTGTGTCCCATCAGGCAGTTAAACAGGCTTAGAAGGTGGTCTATCTTGTTTCCTTAAATCTCAGCTGAGTGGAGATATGACTGCGATTTGTAAACTGCTACTCTAAAATCTAAAATAACTGGCTTCTCTGCAAAGCAGTGAACAACTAATACTTTGTCTTTGTCATGTTTTTCAGGTTCCAGATTATGCTGAGGTGATCAAGAAGCCTATGGACCTGTCAACAGTCCTCTCTAAGATTGACCTCCATCAGTACGGGACCGTGAAAGAGTTCCTTGAGGACGTGGATCTCATCTGGCAGAATGCCCTTGAATACAACCCAGACAGGGACCCGTCAGGTACACAGTGAACAACACATATACAGTGTTGATGCTTACAGTATCTGGTTAGATAATGTGACTATTCCATCTTTTTTTTGTTATGATTGTATTTAGTCTGAAAGGATGAAAGAAATGTCAAATAAACTCAGTCATCTTGTTTTGTGCATGCGTGCCTGTTTCCTCCAGACCGTCAGATCCGCCACAGAGCATGTGCACTGAAGGACACTGTTCATGCAATCATTAGAGATGAACTGGATGAAGATTTTGAGAAGATTTGTGAGGAAATCAAAGCATCATGCAACAGAAGAGGTCAATGCTCCGTGTGTTTGTGTGTGTTACTGTGGAAGGCAAATGTCACATGGTTAACTTTGATCTAGTCTCATGGATAACTTACTTTAATTCTGACTCTCCTGTGGGAGCCCAGTTGTAAAATATTAACAAGTGTAGATCATTTTAGTCAACCTTGGACTGATTAATATTCAGAAACTAATTTTGAAAATGGTATCTTGAGCAGTTTGTTTATAATTTCACTACCATATTTAATTTCATGTTCACTTGTACTTCTTTCCTATCAAGAACAATTTAGTTGTTATTAAACTATGACTGCCCGCTGCGTCCACATACATCAGACCTTCAGTTATATAATCAATAAAAAAATCTAGTTTCTTTGTTTTGACTACCTCAGGCTGCTCCACTGGCCAGTTTGCTCCGTCTTTCTACCATGTCCTTCCCAAACAGTCCAAACCTCCTGCTGACGTCAAGATCACTGATGTGAACCTGCAAGGAGAACCAGCCACAGCTGCTGCTACCCCCAGTACAAATGTGTTTACTGTTACAACACCTAAAAGCACAGGTAAAAACTTCATTCAGTGAAGGGTTTATATAAAATAACTATAACAAGTAAATCTTTATTTCCTTTTTGTTCCTCCAGCCCAGAAGAAGAAAAGGCGGAAGAGTCGCTGGTCAGCTGGCTTGTTGGCAAAAAGAAAAAGCTCCTCTCCTCATGTGTCCAGAGATGACGCACAGTTAGGGTCTGATGAGGATGATGGAGATGATGAAGAGGAGGTTGAGAAGGATGAGGGGGCAGAGCGTGATGAAGGGACTGGAGGAGAGGAGGAACATGTAGAGTCAGGGCCTGCAGAAGCCCAGGAGCGTAGTATTGGGCCCAGAACCAGACAGCAGGACAGCCCAGAGGACGAGGAGGAGAGTTATGCTGCTGAAGACAAAGTTAATCTGTGTCGAAGCCAAGCGCTGGAAAAAGATCAAAAGATCACAGATCAGTCAGAAGCAAACAAAACAGTGTCAATAAAGGAGGGAGATGAGAACAGTGGAACCATTTTAGTGAACAAGGATAGACACACTGAAACTGAGGGAGATGCACTGGGACAATCCAACACAGCGGACAGAGGTGAAACTAGCTGCCAAAAACTGATAGAAACTGAGACTGAGGTGTGTCAGGCTGTGAGAATGGCAGATGACAGGAATGAGGTAGCCACAATAGATGAGGCAGAGCTGAACAGCCATGCTGAGCCAGTGGAGATGGAAGCAACTGAAACCTCAACCGCAGATGCCTCTGCAGCTGTCAGAGGAGAGGAGGATGTGAACACAGGTTGGATTCTAGCAAAGTCTCACACTCAGTTCTTGAACTTGTGTTGTAGAAAGAATATCAAGAGAAATGCTGACCTTCAGTCCACCGTATGTTTTGCTAATGAAAATCACTAGTGCAGTCACAGTGCTTCTTTATGCTTTTGGGGCCTCAGAGTGACTGTGTCAGCAGACTGTCATCTATTAAACTGGTCCAAATTTTTAGTGTGCATGCATTTTGTGTCAGAGTGGAGTGTGAGGCGAATGACTCGGGCTCAGAAGAACGCTGTACTGCAGCAGCAAGTGATCGATTTGGACAGAGCTCTCCAGATCCTGGACCAGGAAACCCCTCCTCTAGTGGTGGACAGAGACCGATTAAAGGTGTGGATACTGTGGGTGTCTGCGTATGCTGGTTTATCATAATGACCTGTCACATTGTTTTGATGCATTTTGACTTCTCTCATAGAAGCCCCAAAAATCAGATGACTTTAGGCTCATTTTTTGTTAAATCATCTCTGCTAAGGTTTCCTCAAAGGAGCATATTAAGTTTTTCAGCTAGTCAATAATACACAAATATGCCAAAGAACAGCAGTGCATCCATATAGAAGCTCAGTATATGAGTTAAATAATGTCTATCCATTATTTGGCCCCAAAGAGCGGGGTGTCAGGTCATGCTGTCATAAATCTTCAGAGCCCTACAGTAAACAGACCTAACCTACCCCTAGCACAAAGCATCCCTGGACCCTGTCCTCACCCAAGCAAAGAGCAGATACTGCATGTGGCTTGACAAACAGCATCTGCCATCTGCATTGTAGTTGCTCAGGTTGAGCAGTGGCCCAACTGGCTTGTGATGGCAGTCACCTCTGAGAGTCGGGTCCTCAGTTGTTCAGCCACTGACACTGTTCTACCAAGATTTTCTAATAAAAGAAGTCTATTAACAATTCCAGTGAGTCAGTAGCTATAGTATCACCAACACCAGTACAAGTTGTGTGTGGGTGTAGGAGTGAAGGCAAGTCTACAGGGCCATCAGGTGGGCACCCTCTCACTAACTGCTGTTTTGGCACAAAGAAGGCTCAACAGTGTGTTCCAGTGTCCCAGAACCACCCCCCTCTTTGCCTGCACCCACACACCCAACACAACCCTTCATCTGCTCAGGCTAATTGTTACCAGTCACTAGAACTAGCAAACATTTCAACTGCTGTTCTAACCACCAGAATTTTAAATAGCTCACCAGATAACTAGCCAGACTTCTGCTTCCTTTTATAAAATGTGTTCTGCATGTCACTCCTCTTATTGTTGCCTTTTCTCCTAATTTCTTCAGGAGCTACTGGAGAGAGTAGTGACCAAGACTGAGGGCTACGAGGTCTACAAGCTGGAAAAGCTCTACGCTTTGCTCTGTCAGAGCATCTATAGACACAGACGAGACTACAACAAATCAGCACTAATACAGGTTAGTATTGCATTGTATTGATGAGCAAATGTAGCAGTTTTCACTGTAACTAATAACCTTGATGTTACTAAGCCACGTCTGTGAAAACAATCAAAAGGTTTCGGGGGCCTGATTTATAGCGGGGCTTGAAAGATGCATAAACCACTTACTGTGAAAGGTTGGTATTAAAAAGAAACGACGAGAGAATGTGCAGAACTACATATGAACATTCTGGAGACTGGTGATGTAGTGAACTGTGCTCAGATTATACAGTGATTATTCCAGGGGTTCACTTAGCTGTCCCTGGTAGGCTAGTGGTTAAGGCACAGCGCTCTCGCCGCTATGGCCCGGGTTCGAGTTAGGGTTGCGTCAGGAAGGGCATCCTGCGTAAAACAAGTGCCAAATGTCAACATGCAAGTTGTCTGAGTGACAATTCGCTGTGGCGACCCCTAAACGGGAAAAGCCGAAAGTGGCTTTCCTATTCCAGGGGTTCATCTACTTTTTCCACTACCATTTTGAATGTTGAGTGTCTTCAATAAAGACATGAAAGATCAGAATTTTTTTTTGTGTTATATTAGGCGCATTATATTTGTCAATACGCTTGACTTAGATGACGATCACATCACATTTTATGGCAAATTAATGTAGAAAACCATGAAATTCCACACTAAATATTCCATAAACCCCTCTCTGTTTGGAAAGATACAGGCCAACCCAAATCTGAACCATTTAGGTCTGTAATTCATTGTTCAAACAGTTAAACATTTGAGCGCCTGGCACTGGCCTATTGCCACATTCTCAAAGTACGGGCCATATTATGCTCACACTCGGTCCTGCTCATTGTGGAGCAGTGCAGCGTGACTGAAATGCCAGGGTGCATCACGTAGCAGATTTTGGAAAATCTGGCTCACCTTCTCCCAGTATTAACCCTGAATATCCTGGTTTCTTTTCAAGGCATTTTTGTGCACATCGAAGCTTTTGGTATGGATTCTATGCACAGAATTCAGTGGGGGGAAAACATAGTGTATTCTACTTTTCCCAGATTTAATTTTAGCAGTGTTGTCTAAGAGGAGTATGGAATATTGATAATTACATCAACCCATAACATGTAATATTGCCAGTGTTATTCTGTATTAATTACACTTAATTTTAACATAGATTAGACAATAACTTTTTCCTAAATGTTCCTAATCTATAGTGTTTTTCTGGTCTTTGTTTAGGAGCTGGAACAGGAGATTGAAGACTTCTGTTGACTTTTCTACAATGTGAACACTTCCAACTACTGTGCTAATCTTCTCAACTGTGTAAATATATAAACTTTGTTTATAAATTTATAGAAATCTACAGCCACCTCTTTTTGTGCATTAACTAAAATTTGTTATTACCTCACTGGTTTATATTTAATTAAATGGGTTACCTTTAAATGTTGCTGTGGGCCTTTTTGTGATTCAGGATTCAAGGCTAATGCATGTTTGTGAAGACTTGTCATAGCTGATGGTGCAACCTTTACCATAACTTTTGCCAAACCTTGATTCACTTGTTCAGTACAACTTTTAAAAACACTGCTAACTGAAATGTTGATTGCTCAGAGGCTGGACTGGCTGAAAAGAAGTAGAAAGTGCAAAATAAAAATCTATTCTTGTCTTAACAGCTGCCAGAATTGATGATTTTATTTGTGGGAAGACTACAAATTTTCCATGACAAATATGTTCTATACAAAGTGTGAAAATAGAGTAGCTGTATAATGACTCTGGAGAATCTTTTGACAAGTCTGAGAAAATTACTCTTGGGACAATACTTTAATTATGGGGACTACATTTTTAGCAGGCTGTTACAAACTGGACATTGGATGTTTAGGCCATTGTTAAATGAAGGGTCTACCAAAAAGTACTTAGTTGCTTGTATGACGGGAAATGTTGGATCCAGAATTTTAAGTCTGACCCAGTTTTAGGCATTAAAGTCAGTATTTCAGCATCAACAGCATCATAATTTTACTTTTTTAAATCTGTCTCCAACAACCACAAGATTTGATGGCTATGTTGTGATAAATTGCTGGAGTTAAAACTGCCCTAGATCCTCCTATCTGTGCATTATATGGTGAAATAAGTGTATTTATTTGTGACAGCATTTTAAAGTTTACATAAGGTGTACGTCTGTCAAGTCCCCCTATACACAGCTTCCTTGCCTGTCATTTCAGTGTCACAGTCTTAAGATGCAGCTTTGTCACAGACAGATAACCTCTGCTATTTGTCTTTCTCCTGTGGTAATCGTTCATAACTAATGGTAGCAGGATGGTACAAATGGATTTTACTGTGAAATTTCTAACATTAGCGATTCTGAAAGTATTTCGCACAGGAATTACAATAATACAACAATACTACGAAGCACCGTACAGTGTAGCTTATTTAAAAATAATGCAAAATAGTTTACAGTAACCAAAAGCCTGAACTACAACACGACAGGATCAGGTGTACTGAATGAAATTACAGCGGTGGTGTCCTCAAGTAGCTTCTCGCACTGCCCTGACAGGTCACGTAAGGACACTGGCAGACAGCCGGGTCGGATAACCAATGACTTCAAGGCACCCTTTAAACAGTACTTCATATCATATGTATATCCGGGCAGAGTATAATGATATCCACCCCACAAGTGTATCATATAGCTGTATAGTAGAGTTAATTTACGCCAGTTTACAAAAAAACATTATAAACACCGAGAGTCGCCGGGGAATGACGTCAGGACGTATCACATTGAATGATGACGCTGTTTGATCATTAAAAAAATGGGCCGTAAAAATATCAGAGAATTAGGTCAGAAAACTAACACATTACCAGCCGCCAAGTAATGAATGTAATTACGGTGCGTTTGATATTACATTACAAATACGCGTCCTGGGCATAAAATAACCTGCTCCGACGAGAACAGAGATGTTCGGTGTTTCCAGCATCTGCAAACGTGAACTGTAGCCGTTAGACCGGTCCGTCCGTCTGCCTCTCTCCGCTGGCTGCGGGAGACCCGCAAGCCCAAATAACGTGAATGCTGTTGTAGCCCTGGCCAGGCGGGGGCTGAATGGTTAACCGGGGGTAGGGAGAGACAACGACAGATACCACCGGACAGAACCTGGGGGCTGTTCTGCCGAGAGCCAGGAAATTATTCTTCGCCTCGTCTCGACAGGCTGGTCGCAACACCGTGCACATTTCAGTAGTTCCAGTAAGTTTACCGCCAGACGTGATCAATTATAATGACTGGCCCGGCTAACGCTGGCTAGTTGGACCACCTCAAATTCATGCTAACAGGCGCTGTTGAGCTAAATTAGATGTCACTGTATGTTAATGTATCGATTTAACACTTTAATAATAAGAAATGAGCTAGCACACACCTACAGATATGATTGTGCTGCTCTCCGTTTAATGTAAATGATCACTGCATTGTGGCACCATAGCATACAACACAGTTAATGCTTTTGTCAACACTGTATAAACAATTACACATAGACTTACTCTGGCGTCTTAGAAGTGGACATTTGCACCTTTGATGTAGCACCTGTGTCACAATGAATACCCGGGCTGTATCCATTAAATAAGACTGGATATAACCATTACAAATGATGGTACATATGAATAAGCTGCTGGGCCCCTCAGTCATCGCCCCCTGGTTATTGTGCCGGGATAGTACCTGGTCCCATGTTTGCTCTGTGGAAATATGATTTTACAAAAATGTATTCAGGAACATGCATTACAGTAATGACTGTCTTATAACTGGATTTTGACAAGCATGGACATTAAGGCCCTAATTAGTTGTGCTTTAGTAGTGCACATTGCTAAACAAATTGCCACAATCAAATGACCACAAACCAATTAACATGCAGTGATCCTGGGGCTTTCCTAAGCATATGGGGTCCTGGAGCGCTGGTCCTCTTTGCCCACATTGTCATTCAGTGTGGCCTTGGCCAGATAATTCAAGAATAATTGTTTGTTTCTGTCTTCCAGTGAATTTATATTGTCCTGTGGTTTTAAAAGCTTGTGTACTCTTAGATATCAAACTAATAAGACATTTTACTATAGATTAACTGATCATTCATTCAGTCCATGAAATTTCCAGAACCCAAAGTGACATGTTAAAGTTGCTTGTTGTGTTTGACAGTAAGTGTTCAGGTTGGTTAAAATAACAATGACATAAAACAGAAGAACAGCAAAGGAAACGGTAAGTCTTTACATCTGGTGTTTTTGTTTGCTAGATGACTTGAAAGATAAGTCAGTTATTAAAGTAGATGAGTAATCCTGTATCAGCTGACTAATATTGCACAATATACATACATGTGTAAATGTAGTACATATTGTTTTTCATTAATTTCCCATTCAATGCATTTTGATACCGGAAAAATAAAATCAGTATTATCTTGACCTTAATCTCAATCATACTGCCCGTTCACCTGTATATCCAGCACACTGTAAACATGTCCTTGTGATATTACAACTCTCATAACACTTTGTTAAATATGGTTACAGCCCCATGTGAATCATGCTGTTAGTTGCAATGCTGAATGTCACCACCACTATATTCCTTCCTCCTGTGCACCTCAGTGTTCAGTTTACACTAGCTTTGCATAAAACCACATTGTTATCTTGACAGTTGAACTGTGAAATATCATGATGTTAGTTGATACAAGGAATAATTTGTTGGAGTTTCAGTTCATTCTGTCTGTTCTGAAGATATGTAGTATTTATTGACTACTAGACATACATGTGTACTGTGTCCTATTTGATCATGTTTATAAGTGAGACTGCAATTAACAGCAACCTAATTTTTTGATAAAGATGTGTTTTTTAGACTCCTATTTAAATAAGTATTTATATATACACTTTACTCTTTGTGACAAATCATATGTGTAACATGTGTATCTATTTTGTTTCCTCCAGTAGAAATAAATAATTCAGGACTCTAGCATGTGAACACAACCATTTAAGACGTGGGTCTTGACACTTCTGTCAGACATCGTCTTTACCCTGAGGAAAAGTAGACAGAGCGTGGCTGACAATGTCAAGCCGTCGGAAATCAACCACACCTTGCATGGTGTTGCCCTCTGATGTGGTGGAGCAGGAAGAGTTGGAGGAGAAAACAGAAAGGGTGAAAGAGGAAGAGGCAGAGGAGGAGGAGGGGAAGGTGAAGGAGGGAGCAGAGGAGGGGCTAACTGCTGAGGAGCTTGGTCAGGCTGTAGTGGTTGTCCCCACACCACCAGATACAGGTACTATAAGATTCTTTTTGACCTAGTCTCCCATTTGTAGATGACACTTTATAAGCCTGAATCCAAACAAACTTGTGTTCAAAGTCACTGAAAATCTGAATTCACTGGAATGAGTTGAGGCATATCTGTCACAATCAATTTTGTAATGCTACAGATGAGCCCAGTGTCTCTGCTGTAGAAGACAGTGAAGTACTTGGACCCTCACAAAAGCACAGCACTACAAACCCCCCTGAGGGTCTGAACAGCGACCAGCCAACCCAGGAACAACAGTGTGATGCACCGGAGGAAGGAGGAGCAGACCCTGCGTCGGTTGCTGCCATCTCTCTCAGCAAGACCCCCATCATGAGAATGAAGACCAAGTCAGAACCGAAGAGGATCGCTGTGGCCTTGAAATCAACGGACGAAGCTGTGGAAGGTTTAGGAGCAGGTGGCGAGGGAGAAGTGGGAGGAGAGCAGGAGCCAATAGAAGCTCCTCTGGGGCCGATGACACCAGTGGAGATGCTTCTGCATGACTCCATGAAGCTCGGAGGAGGCGGCTTGCTGGTCAGCCCGCCCGCAGAGCCGCAGAGGAAATCAGCCATTTTAAACCCCACAGTTCTACCTGCTGGCCTGGCACAGGTAGAAAGTCTTGATTATATAAAGGGTTTCGTCAAATCATTTTAGCAGCAGTAGTGTAACAATACTCCTCTTACCTATATCTGTGAAAAAGTAATGTTTTTTTCAGACCCAGCAGCCTGGTCTTTTAAAAACTGCTTTGGATAAGAGTTAGACGTCACCTTCACCTACACTCCTGCAGCTCATAGATCTGCATTGTCTTGTTCAGGAGCAATTCAGCGCAGCAGCTTGCAAAACAGGCCTTGAGAAGTATATTGCCTTTGCTTGTGTAGCATTGGCAACCCAGACTTCTCTCCTCTTGTTTCTGTTCTCTTATTCCAGGTGCTTTCTGGCTTCCAGGCCCAGCAGGGCTACTGATTCCGCTCAGCAGCATCCCCTCCTACAGTGCCGCTATGGACACCAGCCCTCTGCTGGGCAGCACATACAAGAAGTTTCCTTACCCTTCCATGGCTGAGATCAGCAGCCTGGCAGCACAGACACCGTTCACAGAGGAGCAGATCAAGGTACGAGAAGGAGGGCTGATGTTTTGAGTCGATTACTTCTGCTGACAAAGTGTTTTCACTTCTGTCTGTTCTAAAATAAGAACCCTCATCTAAAACCTCCTTACTCTGTGCATTATATAATATATTATATTGAGTAAAATACAATCTCAGTCTTAATTTAGGACTTAAGTCTGAAAACTACAAAATACAGACTGTCTTTATTTTGTCAATGGTGGTCAAATATACTTGATCTACACCCAGGTGTGGTTCTCAGCTCAGCGACTGAAGCACGGTGTCAGCTGGACCCCAGAGGAAGTGGAGGAGGCCAGGAGGAAACAGTTTAATGGCACGGTGCACACAGTGCCTCAGACCATCACTGTCATACCTGCTCACCAACTCTCAGCTGCTGCCAACGGCCTGCAGTCCATTCTGCAGACGTGCCAGATAGTGGGCCAGCCCGGCCTGGTGTTCACACAGGTAGGTAAGGACAGAAAATAAGCCATATCCACAGCCGCCCCTAAAGGCAGTTATGTGGTTGCTTTTCCTGTGCATTGATGACATTTTTATGAATGACATGTTTGCCCAGCAGTTTCAAGACTACATGGCCTTATGTTTGTTTATTTTTTTCCCACAGTGCTAACCAGATCCACTGTTAGCAGGCAGTAGTTCAAGGTTTCATGATCTCTCTCTGTACTGCTCAATAGAAAGGCTACATTATATAGTCATCTCCATAACAGAAGTGAATTGTATTTTAATGTAATTCTTATGATGATAACGACCATGTACCGGTAATGACAACATTTTCACCAAAAGTGCACAGACAGTTTTTTTCTGGGAAACAACACCCTCACAAAAACTGGCATCATGTCACCACATGATACACTAAAGGTGTATCGTAAACCAAATACATGCAGGTTGAATACAGTACAGTATATACTATAGGTAAATACTCCATTTGCTTTGTGGAGACTTAGCTAGCTGGTCTGATCTGTGTTCGTTTTGATGTTTCTTCATATTGAAGTGCTATAAATAATGACTACAGTCACTTAAACAACAAACACATCTGTGTCTGGCTATATGTTTCAGCCTCCCAGTCTGTGTGCCATTTTCTGACTCTGTGTAGGTCGGCCCAGGGAGCACCCGCCCCCCCCCCCCAGACGGGGGGGGGCCCCCCCAGCCAGTCCCAGAGCTCCAACAGAGTTTCCTGCCAGCCAACAAACAGTGAGCTGAAACGGGCCACCACTGTGCAACCTCCCTCTCTTTCTCCACAGGTGGGGACAGCACTTAAAGCTGACATTCAGACCAACATTTGTTTGCTCTTGCATTCTCACTTCCATCAACATGCAAGTAGCAGGTGCTTAATATACTGTATATAACTTCCTCCTTTCTCTCTCTAAGGAGAACTCTGCCCTCAGCGCTGACACATTCAGTATGCGGCCTAAGAAGTCCAAAGAGCAGCTGGCAGAACTGAAAGCCAGTTACCTGAAAAACAACTTTGTCACTGATGCTGAAATTGCCCGGCTGATGAAGCTCACCAACCTGACCAAAGGAGAGATCAAGAAATGGTTCAGTGACACCCGGTACAACCAGCGCAACTCAAAGAACAGCCATGTCATTGTTTTCCATGAGGGAGGGGGTAGAGGAGGGGGCAGCTGCAGTAGCAGTGCTAGCACCACCATTGTTATTGACTCGAGTGATGAGACCCCCACATCTCCCCATCCTCCACACACTCCTCCTGTGAAAGAGACACGGCCAAAGACGTGGAACCCATTCCCAGACTTTACTCTGCAGAAGTTTAAGGAGAAGACGCCGGAGCAGCTGGTGGTGCTGGAGGAGAGTTTTGAGAAGAGCAGCACCCCATCAGATGAAGAACTGAGCCGCCTGAGGACTGAGACTAAACTGACACGGAGGGAGATTGACGCGTGGTTCACTGAGAGGCGAAAAATGCCGTCTGTCAGCACCTCCTCCCCAGATTCCTCAGAAGGAGGGAAGATGGAGACAGACGGAGCCAAAACAGGAGAAGGAGGAGGAACGGGAGGAGCAGCCT